TTAATATATATTTTCAAAGCTGCCGGCATATAATGTAGTGGAATAGAAATGAATGGACACAATGGGTAAAATGATTGCTTTCTTCCTATTCATTCACCTGATGTAGTGTTTGTAAATAAATAAATAAATCAGTTGAGGTGTTTGTAGTGCTATGAATACAAAATAAATAAACCACAAAATATGGCAATTAAGCTGAATGAATGGGACTTTGAAAGAAATATCCCATATTGTTACTTTGTATGGTGAGGTTGATTCCTTTGAGAGAATAGTATGATACTACTGAAAATTATTTTAGACTTGATGAGCTATACATCTACATTACCTAGATGCTTCTCTTGTAAATTTGCAGAAAATTGCGTAAGAAAATCACAGATGTGATCACATTTGAAGTGTGAACTTGAAAAGGTTTTCTATTGTGATAAAAAAGCTATTGTAAAATGACAATGGCATTAAATTCGTTGGCGGAACAAGGCATGAAATGATAAGAAAAAGGTGTTGAAGAATTGATTGACACAGGGTAGACAGTATCACAAATATTGGAATGAAAAAGGAAAAGCTGGCCTGGAAAAATCTTTAAAATCTATTTTTTGTTTGTTGATTGGTTTTTGTAAGAATCCATTAAAATGAGTAATAAATGAAAGTGTTATTTAGTCATAATTTAAGTGTGTTGTAGTCATAATTTAAATGTGATCTACAGTAGATATAATTTAAGTGTGTTGTGGTCATAACTTAAAGATGAAGTTGAGTTCTGGTCATGCGATTGCATCGTGAAAGAAACGGTGTGGAATCGACCAGAAAAGGTTGATCATCTAATATGTGAGAATTTGTGTGTATTGCAAGGTTCTGGAATCATCAAAATGATAAGAAATTTGGCCAAGTCTTGGTAAAGTTACAAACACTGTACACGGTAAGATGTATATGGGACTACATGAACACGTGGCGTAAAAATCCTACCCCCCCCCCCCCCCCGAGTTTTACGATGTTAATGACATATTTAGAATATGAAGGCATTTGAAGAGCCATGCTTTTCAGGGAACATGTCTTATCTGATGTTCTTCCACACTTGCATAATATGAATGATAACGCTCACAAATTATTTTTCACCTCTTCCCAGAACTCAACCTTCTCTTTAAGTACGTTTTAGTCGTAATTTAAGTGTGATTTAGTCATAACTTAGGTGTGAATTAGTCATAGTTTAAGAGCAATTTAGTCATAATTTAAGTATGATTAAGTCATAATTTTATTTTGTATAGACAATAGGTAATTATCTTCATTTACATTTAGGTATAGAACTATAAATGCCAATCACTTAGAGATATCTATTATCAAAATATGAGGATATTTACTTTTTGAAAGGATGGAAAAGGGCAAAAACATGCCTCCTAATTTACTTTGTATGGCATTTTGCTAGGAATAATCAAGGGGTACTCTATTTTCTGCCAAAATAGACTGGACAAATGCCCTTTTTGTTTACTATTTCTAACCTCTCTTCTTCTCTTTCTCTTCTTCATATTCACGAAAGACAAAATGGGGAGTACTTAAGTAGATGTAAAAAGAATGTACTTTTCATCTTAACTTGGCGCATTGGATTTCCACCGCGGTCCACCATCTTAGAATTGGGCAGAATGGCTGCCAATTTGGCCTAAATATAGCTCTGGTATTTACAGGCCCATTCGCTTATTAGAGTGATTGATTTCGGGATCGGTTTCGCGGCCAAAACTCCCCATATGCGATTGCTTCCGTGCTGATTTCTAAGCGTTGAGAAGGAAAGACGAGCAACGATTTTGGACTGCCTGGCAGGGCCTGGCTTGAAGTTTTAAAATTTAAATTGTTTTTGTTGTTGTTTTGTTTGGGTGTGAATTGAAGGGATGATACAGTGAGATTGAAGGATTGTAAAGCAGAACTCCCAAAATGTGAGAAATGTAATTTTTAAATGATCTGTGAAGATTCATTTGAAAAAAGGAATTTTGAGAAATGGAATATACAGTAAATGAAGACTTCAAATCTTCCCAAAAGGTAGAGATTAGTTACTGAATGTAAGATAAAATGAAGTCAAGAAAATGGGAACATTACATTTTCATTTTCATCATTTTTTCAAAACAAATTCACTGTAAAAATGAAAGTAATTAAACAATGCACTTATCTTCTCTGAATGCATTATCAACTTTGGAAAGATTAAAAAGCAAAATTACTGCTGTTAAAGCACTGTAATAACAGGGATGTACAAATTGTGAAATGATGCAATGTTAAAACTATGCGTGGTTAAATAAAAGAAGAACAAAGAGCCTAGGCAACATGAAACAACAGACTGACAAAACAAAGAGACTCCATTTTACCATGAATGCCAGGCACTCTGAGAATAATAAGCCCAGACTGTGCTTCATTATGTATTCTCTATTACTAGGGTAACGACATGGGACTTTATTATTCCTTCCCTTTCCCAAGCTCCCTTCTATCGTAGGTATCCCCAGTCAGTATTGATTAGCGATCGAAGACGAGGGCGCTACATTAGGCCTGCCTGCCTGATAACCAGGCTTTCACTTCTCAGAGGCCATCAAAGGAGATCGCTCTTGATTTCTAAGCATATATTTATACATGCCTGCGCTAGAAATGTATTCAGTTTGCCCAACCATTGTCTAAGATTAGATACACAAAAACTGAGACAAACAAAAATGTCAAAAGTTTGAACTTTGAAATGTAGATGTTTTGGTTCTCACTGGAAATATATATATATATTGAATAGGCCATTTTCATTATGTAATTAATTTTAATTGCCAAATTTGTGTTTAGAGACTTGTTACAAATGATTTCATTCACCAGTTTTGCATACATTAATTGTTGCTAGGTAGGACAAACATTATAGCTTGTCCTACTTAGATATAAATAAATATGAATATGAATATGATGTATGTAAGAACACAGAATGTATGCAAATTGCATTCTGACTATTGAAATACAATTTTCATGCCTACAATATTTTCCACTTCAATTATATAACATCTTATTTTATCCAACCCCCAATTTGGCCTTTTGCTGCAATGACCTTTTATTGATAAACCATTTCAATTCTATTTAAGAACAAAACAAATTTACATCATTTTCCTCATGCCATAGTGACATTGACATATATATATTGTTATATCCCAATACTGTCATATATCCAGACTGTAATGCATTTGTAATCTGCCATCAGAGGGTTTTTAATGCACATCGAGCAGCGGATCAGAGTAATTTCTGGTAGCCATAGCAACCGGAATTAATACCACTTCACTTCTCCCTCTTCTATTTTTTAATTATGCTCGTCAGCGAGCGAGCGTGTATCTCAGGGATGCAATGTGTGCGTAGGCTCCGCCGTGACCGCGACTCTCATGAATAATTAGAGGTTGCGTTTTTGGCTGGTAGGAAAGTGCGAATGCTTGACGTTGGGCTGAATTTTAGCTTTTGTTTATGTTTATTGGAAATAGTGTGATGCAATGACTGATCAGGAATTGTTGGGTTCGTGCTCATGAAGTCGGGAGAGAGAGAGAGAGATACATGAGATAGATAAAAAAAAAGAAAGTGTGAGAGATAATATAAAACCTGAGTTTTGTACATTGAATCTGTATGTGAAATGTAGGCCTACATGTAAATGTGAATTGGTAGAGGGAGAGAAATAGCAACATATTGAAACAGAGAGAGAGAGAGAGAGAGAAGATGGTGTATGCTTAGAGGAAGAAAGAAACACAGAGAGATAGAGAGAGGGAGAAAGAGAGAGAGTGAGAGAGAGAGAGAGCACAAGAGATATAAAGTAGAAAAAGTGAGAGACAATTTCAAAACTGAGTATATGTATGTGCAATGTAGGCTTGAATTGGGAGAGAAAGAGAGATAGAAACATATTGAAACGGAGAGAGACGATGGTGTATGCTGAGAGGAAGAAAGAAACACAGAGAGAGAGAGAGAGAGGGAGAGAAAAGGTTGAGAAATCGCAGTCTAGAGAGAAAGAGAGAGAGAGAGAGAGAGAGAAGGGGATGGGGGCAGCAAGGAAAAGAGAGAGAAAAAGATTGACAGAAAAAGAGAGAAAAGTAGAGAGAGAGAGAGAGTATGTGTGAGTGATAGGAAGCGAAAGAAATAGAAAGAGAAAAGGTGTATCATGTTAAAGATAGAGAATGATCGAGAAAGAGAAAGAGAGAGGCATAGACATGACAGATCTAGCATAGAATGTGAGATGGAGAGAGAATGCATATTGCATGGTGATGAGACAACGGTGAAATTTGCCACCGAAATGGAAGATGTCACGCATCGCAAATGAAATGGATGAGCATGACAATTTTGTTGGTGTCCTGTTGGATTTTAGAGGCATGCTTTCAGGCTTCAACTAGAGCGAAGATGTAGGCTTTTCTCAAGGCATTAATCTTTCCTTTATTTTCCGGTCTCGACTAGTGTACAAGTGTAGGCTTGCTTCAAGGCATTAATCTTGCCTTCATCTGTATTTGTGTAGTGTACATGTATTTGGACTGCAGTATATTCATACATGCATGTATGTGTACTTGTTACTGTTGACATGTAAGCGGATGTGTTAGATGTTTGTCTTGATAATGAATATGATAGTTAAAATCATGATATGGATGATGTATACAAAAATGAGATAAAATAATTCTACTATTGATGATGATTGAGGTAATGAGAATGATTATGAACCTGAAGATGGTAATAATGATGAAATATAGATGATGATGGGGAAGAGGATGATGATGAGGAGGAGGAAGATGAATGATTGAGGGGATGAAGATTACTTTGAAGCTGACAGTGACTGTTAATCTTTAAAAACAATCATTAGACAATGTTGATAATGAATATGGTGATGGTGATGGTTGCGATGATGATGCTGATAATGAAAATGACGGTGATGATGATGATGATGGTGATGATGTTTGTCAAAGACGATGATTAAAGTATTGAGAAGTGGAAGATGTAGATGATGTTGATCAAGTAATGATATTGCTTGTGGAGGTGAGGATAATTTCCTGCTACTGATAATGTCTATAAAACAACATAATAATGGTGATTATGACTGCATCAAATTTAGACCATCTAACCAACTTCTCTCATTCTTTATCTTCCTCCAGGCGTTGGCTGCTGGTGCCTTTGACCCATCATCATCAAGGTTTGAACTGAGAGTAGCCGTTAGGAAAGGATACTTCAACAAATACGCAGATATCCTCTCGGGTCAATGGTTGACCGATACATCAGCAGAATTCACCGCCGACGCAACAGAAGTCCTCAACTACTGCAAAACGGTAAAGACAATTTATAATCGCTTTTTTTATTTTCCATCATATTTTCAGTTCATAGCCAAACATGGATCAAAATGATATTATATATCTAGATTTTCATTCAATACATTTATTGTAAAGTTATAAACATGGTGTCCATATGCTTTTAAAATACCCAAATCATAACTTGTTATTTATAATTCAGCTTTCTACTGAATGGATAGATAATAATTGTGAATCTCTTTTTAGGAAGGAATCAATTTCTTAATATTTTCCTTTCAAAAGTAGGTTTTCCCATACTATCCCTCTAAGCATACAAGCATATAGATATGCAGAAGCCTGCATATACACACATGTATATTTCTTAATTTGTTCTGGCAAATACCAATATTATGATTATATGTGCCATGACAAATTTAAAATTCAAAGTTAGGAAATATACGTACATGCAGGTTTCTCCATATCTATGTGCTAATTGTGCTTGTAGGCTTTGAGGGATAGAAAGGGAAAACCCACTTTTGAAAGGAAAATGATAACAATTGTCTCTTTCCTAAAAAAGCTTGGCATCATCCTGAAAAGCTCTGAGAGACAAAATGAAACATGAAACGATAAGTACTTGTCTGCTGAGAGCCAGGAGGGTGTTAGCTCTATGTGAGAGATTATGATTTAATACCCTTCTGGCTCTAAGCATACATGATGTACAGTCTGAGAGGGATTTTAGTTCTATCTTCTCCAAATACGAGCTTTCTTGCGAACAGTATTGAGTTCAAGCGACGCCATTTTAAGATGAAACGTTATCCCCCATCGAAAGATTGGACGTTTAGTGAAGGATCGGCACTAGAAGAAATTTCCCTTTTGCAAACTAAAACAATCTTTAAGTGAAAGTGATATGCCTGTCATGGGCCCGAATTCACTCTCACCAAAAATAGCCTCTTGACTTTTGGGAGGAGAGAGCTTCGAAGATGCAAAAAGGGGCGAAATATGCTCTTGAAGTGGCGCCACTGAATAAAGTTTTTAATTTTTTAAACTGCGCCATTCTTTGTTGCAAAATGTGATGCTGTCTGCTATTAGGCGCAATGTGTAGTTACCCCATAGCACATTATACTGTTGAGGACGGCTGAATAATTTAGTGGGAGACTGACTCAGTGAAGCTGTTTTTCACTGAAACGAGGACGGGATGAGTCATCCCATGGACTTGGGATGCGATCCGCTGTTCCGCCGCAGCAGATGCTAATTTAGGGCACACTGGAGGGGCTGAGCAAACGAAATGTTGCTAGCATTGAGTTTGCTCAAGTGCGGGGGATGGGGTCGTTGTCATGGTGATGATGTGGTTAAGGATGAAGTCGAGAGGGGGGGGGGGGGTGGTCGAGGATTGATATGTGCCGAGGATGATAATGTACTGCCTAGTGCATACAAATTAGATGACGACTCCTAGTGGGTTCTTTGAGGTAGGATTATACATATAGATTGTAGGGGGTCCGGGTCATTGCTGTAATGATGGGTTAGCATGAGATGAAGTAGAGACGGGGGGGGGGGGGGGGGGGGGACGAGATTTGTTTGTCAGCAGCGAGTATGATAATTTCCTCATATTGCATACAAATTAGATTACGATTCCTAGTGTATTCTTTGTTCTTTGAAGTAGGATTCTCCTGATTGGCAGTTGGGGGATTGGGAGATGATGAATTGCCATGGTGATATTAATTGATACAAGATGAAGGGGTGTTGGAAGAGTGGGGGGGGGGGGGCAGACTTGATCCTGTCACGGAGGAAAATGTAAAATAGATGAGTTAGTGGCTTTTTTTCTTCTTGAGGTGACAGTTTGTGGTCGCCATGTATAATGGATATTCGATTTGAGGTATCAAATGGGAATATACAATTTGAAAGTATTCTATCAGTCTTTGAGATGATATAAGGTTGTGAAGTAAAATAAAGGACACTGCATTCTAAGGTGATACAAATAGAAAATATGTATTTCCTCTAGTGAACAGTTTTTTTTTTTTTGGGGGGGGGGGGGGAGTACCAGCTCGACCGCCATCATGTGCATTTAAGACCAATCACTTGCATTTTTTCCTAGCTGTTTTATCATAATTCTGGAAAAATGTAAACAACAATTTGTTTGTACTTGAAAATGGATAGAGATTTACATATTCATGTAGACACATTTAGATGTGTCAAAAATGTCTTGGGTATCGTTGTGCAATCTTAGTCATGATATATGAACACCTTTCTTTGCCATGCTTGAAAAATATTTTTATTCTGTCGTTGCGATATTCAAGTAGAGAACAGAATCTGAAGTGCTGCTTGTCTCTCATGCCTGATCTTCTATTTCCACTTCAGTAGAGAAGCATTTCTTGAAATCATGCACACAAATTACTTGTATAAGCCAGAGGATATGAATGCATTCCAAAAATGTCTAACATACAGACAGAACCACCCCCCCACTCCCATATAAAGTAATCATTAATTCAACAAAGAATTGCTAATCAGAAATGATAATTCAGGTAATTTGTATTGCTCTCATAATTGCTTAAAGTTTACATACATTTTGTGTATACGCGTAGTCTCTCCAAAATATAATCCTTTACAGTATTTATAAAGAGAAAGACACTCATGATTTTAGAGGATGGATCCTTCTCCCTTTACATGGGGGAGGGGGATAGGGGGAAGGGGGGGGGGGGTAGTATTTAGGCTAGTTTAATGATTCATAATAGGGGTTTCAAGAAAATTAAATTCCTATATATGTCAGTGATATACAATTATACACTGTCGACATACTTTCTTATAAACTTGAGTTATATTTATCTGCTGATAGAAGGCCGTGTGTGCCCCGTAGCGTCAGATAGAGCACCATTGTGTGTGAGGGAAGCGTTCAGATTTCTTCGTTTATCATCTGGAGTGGTCGCATGCCGCGAGGCGAAAGTCTTGCACCCAGGAACCTGCCTCGATGATAGTCTGCAAGAGGAGACTCTCCCGAAATAAAAAAAATTATTGATTTTAATTGAGGCGCGATGGCTCAGTGGTAGAGCAGTGGTTTGGTAATCGGGAGGTTCCGGGTTCGAAACAAAGTCGATGTGCTAGTGCCCTTTGGTAAGGCATTAAAAGTCCCTCAGAGAAGATTCAAAGGCCTCTGGTTGCTTGAAAACGTACGAGCATACACATACTTTCTTAGCAGTCAGGTAAAACAAACAAACAAATAAACAATTTACACAAATGCACACATTGGTCTTGCATTTCCGCTACTCGTACTATAATGACAGTATCTTTACATATTTATGTAGGCTTATATGCATTTAGGCTTGTACATTATGTAAAACCACATTGTTTCTTTGTAGTTAGCATTTGTGTACATTCTTATACATACATGTAGGCCTACGTATTCCCAATAAAATATTTAGAAAGATGAGATACATTGTAGATTAAATGATGAAAAAGGAATGTTGAAATAGAAATAAATGAAAATAAGAATTATGACAAAATTATGAAAAATTATGAAATTATTAAAACTGAAAAAGATCAAATCAATCAATAGGAATGGTAAATAGATTTTTGATTAAATTAAAATTAAAGATATCCAAAAAACAATAACATAAGAAGTATGAAATTAAATAGATCAAATAAACCAATGAAATGGAAAAGAAAACGTTTAGTATTGATGAAAAGTAAATATTTGAATGATTAAGAAATATGTACATGTACATGTAAAATGAGAATGAAATCAAGAAATGAAAACTACAGCACTGCAATATTCATGTGGAAGTGTAAAAATTATATTTATAGAATTCCTTTTGATTTGTAATATTTGTTGATATTCTCCATATTAACACCTCTGATTTCCTGTTTGCGGGGTGCTAGTAGGGCTTCTCGTTTGAACTCGACCACGCATTATCACCTCTGACGTAGCAGGGGTTCGCAAGACTTCTTTTTGACCCCGATCACATTACAATCAAAACACCTTTACATCTGGGCAAAGAATTGTACGCTGGACGGTGAATAATTGCTTCAGTATCGGTTTTTAACTCCTTCACCACCGTTCATATCTAGTCTCCCAGCGCAGACTGTATTTTGACTACCAAATACAATTCCCTAAAGCTTTGAGCCTAGCCTTACTTTGCCAGTCTCATGCTGACTCAAGAGCAGGCTATATTATAATATTATAGAGTCTACAAGAACTTTGGTTTAACTTTGGTTTTAGCAGGGGGTCCAGTCCATGTTGAAAGTTTTAGGGTTGAGCCCTGTTAAATTTGTTAAATATTTTTTGTTATGCCCATTTGTTTTGGATGCTTGTTACTAACAAGCTCTACCTTCATTTACAGTTAACAACTGAATTATACATTTGATGAAATAAAGGTGGACTATTTGAATTAGGGCCTTTGTTGAATACTTTTTTAATGTACTTGATATGTCACATTCTCAAGAAATATAAATCTGGACGAATTAATTTTTCTTATACACCTGTACTTAAAAAAATATTAAAAAACGTAGGGTAAGGATATGAATAATTTAGTAGTTAACTGTGTGTAGTGCCGTCAACAAGCATGTAGTTAATTCTATTGTCAATGAATTATGAAGGACAAGGTTTTGTGCCTGCAAACTAATTTCTCTCTGTGGTGGCACTACAGGACCATATGGTATTTGGTTGTAAGGGAATAAGGATAATGGAATATACATGTACAGATTGTCAGCCGTTTATATTACCTGGGCAAAAGCCCTTTTATACTAGCTTGTCAATAAGAACAGTGTAATTCAGTTTCAGTTTTAACTACTTGAGCACCATTTCATGTCATGGCAATTACTGTCGCAAAGGCTTTGGTCATCCTACCAGTTCCCCGTATTCTCCTGGGTATGGAGACGCAAATGTAGCTTAATGTCTTGGCAAAATACATAAGTGCCATGTTGGGATTGAACCTACGTCCTTTGCTAGTCAAGAGCTCAAACCGCTGGACATCTCCTTTACTGCCATTTCCCAGTGGTGGCTCTACTGAAGAGCAGGATATTTGATTGTAAGACTAGGGGTACGTTCAAGC